AAATCTGGACGCTAGAGTCCTCCTGTAAAGCCCTAAACATAAATACGAGTTTCGGCTGTCCCACACAAAAGATTGGCATCGTGAAACAATCCTGTCAATTTCTGTGATCGTGACGCCTAATCGGTGGTCCTACAGTGAGAGAGGTTCAAAGACGGCCGTTGTCTTTGAAACAAATAAAACTGCTAAAGTGTGATTCATCATGCTCTTTTTGTTTACCACTAGCGCATGCTGATGACATTTTATTCTACTATAGTAACGTGCATCGTGGACTCATAGCTTACAAGTCATAGGTGTCCTCATCCTACAGTCTACACACAAGTCCTGGCCAAGTTTATTAGATCTATGTCGTACAGTGTGACATGCAGTGGTCTTATAGGATTGCTAAAATCGTGCGGTGTGTTTTGGGCTTTAAGAGATGGTCTAGTACAGGGGTTCTCAGACCTGTCCTGGAGGACCCCTAGCTCTGCACATTTTGCATGCCTCCCTTACCAGACCCAATTAATGTCTTGCATTCTCTACTAACGAGCTAATGAGTTGAATCAGGTGTGTTAGGCTGATGATACATGGGGCAACTTTTTTTTTGTTAGCAATGTTGCTTGGGCACTTTCCAACTGAGAATGGGTAACAAATTTCTTCCTGGATACTTTAGATCGGTCGTGGGCCCTGTGTCTCACCTGGCTGCCTGTTGACAGCAACATTAACAAAAGTTGCCCGGTGTATCATCAGCCTTAGATAAGGGAGACATACAAATTGTGCTGGGCTAGGGGGTCCTCCAGGACATGTTTGAGAACCACTGGTTTAGTAAGTGCGCATATTGCACATGAATTCCCACCCCCATTGTCATGGCACGAAAATACCATTAATTCTATTATAACTTAATTTTGGAAAAACACTTTTTTATGTAAAAATCTTTACATTAACTGGCTTTCTATTAATGCAGTACAATGAATGACAACTGAATGTGGTCTCCCAGTGGCCACATTATTGATATTTAGTGTTACACCAAAACAAAACATGTATGCCTTCATCTCCAAAAACATTTTTGTCTTACGTTTTATAATTAACTCAGAAAAGCTCAGTGCCGACTCGTTTTCTTTCAGTTTCTTCAGTTCAACAAGAGATAAATGAAGGACACAAAACTAAGGCTGTTTTCCAAGGATCCTTCAAAATGAGACAGCCTTCAGAGGCAGGGCAGGGCCGCTGCGTGCCTATAGGCAAACTAGGCCGGCCGTACAGTTAGGGCAGCAAGAAAAAGATTAAATTTTTTATGTATTTATTTTTGGAGATTCATGTGGAATTATTACACGTATACACAAATGATCATCAACCAATTAGATCTTTTAAATAAAAATTAACTTCCCTTTGTTCTACCTAGTTGTGCCAATATTTACAATTTTTTTTATAAAAAAAATATTTGTACTGTAATAATTTAATAGTTTGTGTAATTCTATTTAAGTAATGATAGTTTGTAGATAAACATTTTAGTCTCCTATGTGTTCTGAAATAAATACCCTTTTGTTTTTGTTTTGTTTCAGTTCTAAGCAAAGTTGGTGTATTGAAGACTTCTGAGGAGGACAGAAAACCTGAAGGAGATCAATTCAGTTGCCTAAAAAGACATTTCCAAGTGATTTCCTTGTTTTATTTATTAGTTAGAATGGATATAACATTTGAACTAACTACAAAAGCTGAATAATAAATAAAAGCTACTGATAAATCTGAAATAATCAGCAATCAGTCAATCATTGTAATCTCAGTTCATCTCAATTAATCTCTGATTAATTGATTACCAAAAGAATAGCTTGATGTGGCTCTACACAGCATCACACCTGGAAGTACAGATCAACATTTAAATTACTTACTGTAATTTCAGACATGCATCTTTTTTGTGTGATACGTTAGAGAATATAATTGAGTGAAACTCTTGCCACATGAATGACAATGATACGGCTTCTCTCCAGTGTGGATCCTCTCATGTACTTTAAGATATACTAACCGTTTGAATCTCTTGTCACAGTGTGGACACTTGTAAGGTGTTTCTGTAGTGTGAGTTTCCTTGTGCTTTTTCACTTCAGCATCTGTAAAAAAAGCCTTCCCACACTCACAGCAAATATGATCCTTCACACCGCTGTGTCTTTTCTGGTGTATTTTTAAAGCATCCCGCTCACTAAAACTCTTTCCACACAAAGAACACACATGAGGCTTCTCCCTTGTATGAACTTTTAGATGCCTATTTAGGGCACCTGTCCTAAAGAAATGTTTACCACACTGGTCACAGTTATAGAGTCTTTCACTAGAATGAATAAGCAGATGACCTCTAAAAACACTTGATATTCTGAAACTCTTCCCACACTGATTACATGTGTATGGCTTCTCTCCAGTATGGATTGTCATGTGAACATTAAGGAGGTCTTTTTGTGTAAAACCCCTCCCACACTGATCACAAGTGTGTGGCTTCTCTCCAGTGTGGACTGTCATGTGATTGTTAAGATGTACTTTTCGTCCGAAACTCTTCCCACAATGCTCACATGTGTATGGTTTCTCTCCAGTGTGGATCCTCTCATGTCTTTTCACATATATTGACCGTTTGAATCTCTTGTCACAGTGTGAGCACTTGTAAGGCGTTTCTTTAGTGTGAACTATCAGGTGCACTTTCAGTGCACCATCTGTAAAAAAAGTCTTCCCACATTCAGGGCAAGCATGATCCTTCACACCGCTGTGTCTTTTCTGGTGTCTCTTTAACGTACCCATCTGAATAAAACTCTTTCCACATAAATTACATACATAAGGCTTCTCCTTTGTATAAACTTTCAGGTGGTCCTTCAGGTCATCTGAAAACCCACCAAGATGACATTTTATGTGAACATCAAGACTTTGCTTGCATGAGAAACTCTTTCCACACTGAGAGCAAGTGAAACATATTTCATCTCTTCTTTTCAATGAGGGACTCCAGCATGCTTCCTCAGTTTTTACATGATGTTTCTCTTCCACTTCAGTCAGTTCTTCAATCTCCTTGTTCTCTTCTTTCAGGTCTAAAATTAAAGTAAAAAAGTTCAGTTAAAATAAGTTTTCAGTATAGAAAATAAATAGATGTGAAAGGAAAAAGACATTTGAACCCTTAGGTAACAGTAGAAAGTATAAACATTTTGATTAATTCATTTGAATTAAGTACATTTATCATCCAATTATTATTTTTAAAATAGTACAGACACAGGTTTTGTACTGAGAACTATTACAATTATTATTATTTTTTTATTAACTACATTTTACAAGTCAGGGTTGTAACATTTTCAAAAATGTAAAATATGGTTACAAAAACTATGAACCAGATATATATAAAAGTGTAAAAAAATAAAAAATCACCCCCAGGAATGAAATTGGGGACCAAAGAACTTTTGCTTAGGTTAAGGTGACCAGACGTGCCTTTACATTTGTCAAGGCCTTTACTTTGAAATTACAGGAGTAATTTTTCCTGTTTTACCACACACACATTATATGTGTATATATATTCTTTATTTTTTATTTACCATGCTGTTAATGTCGTACTTAAAGGGGTCATATGATGCTGCTAAAAAGAACATTATTTTGTGTATTTGGTGTAATGAAATGTGTTTATGCGGTTTAAAGTAAAAAAAACACATTATTTTCCACTTTGCTTATAGAAGGTTGTGACAGACCCAAATCATCACTGCTGCATTTTTCCAGTTGCCAAATATGTTAAATGTAGTTAATGTAGTGATTACTTCCATTTCTGGCTCTATGGCATTTCTGAGCGGTGTCGGAGATGTTAGCGCGTCTCTAATAAGATCGGTCACAAACAATCCCTACACGATCTAATGTGTAGCATCTTATTAACTCCCTGTCATGCATTGTGTGCAACACATTTCTTCTCCCTCTTCATGTGTCGTCCATTTTCTCCACTGCTAAAAAAAACTCTTAAGCCTCTTAAAAGTCCTCGTCCATACTGCTAACACTTTTGGTCCTTAAGACCTCTTTTAAGGGTTAAGATGCTTTCTGAATTACTTTTTTCTTTACTAGGATCTTTTATTTAATTTTAGGAGGAAACACCCACATTTCTAAGAATTTTCTTTGAATTTTGTTACTAGGAGCAACTCACTAAGATTTTTCATGAATACGGGCCAAGGTTTTGGCTGTCTGCGCTGTGCAGATCGATCGTTGTATGACATCTAAGTACCATGAGAGCTATAGAGAGCAGAGCAGATGGCTGCTTTAAGCTTATGAATCACTCACGCGCAATGCCGCTTAAAGTCGAACACACCTGATAAGCACGTTCATCGCTTTGACTGTTCTCTATAGATCCCACATTCTCTCACGTCACAACTGGTCGATTATGTACAATGCCTGTTATTGGTCAAACTACTTTTAGACCATTACCAAAACAGGAAAACAAAGCCAAAACCTGGATATTTTAGGCAATATAGAAATCTTGGCCCAACTGTAAACCATGCCCCAAAGCGAGGGGGTTTGAGGGTGGTCCAGCCTTGGCGGAAATGAACCTACTCGGTCTTGGAGCATCAAAGCTGCTGGGGCTGCTCAGGGTCCAGCTCTAGCTTCTTAGCCGTGCAGAAGCCTCGTTTCACTTCAGGTTCCGCCTCTGGCTTTCTTTTTTTCTTTTTAAACAACTGTTTTTAAAACAACAATTGAAGACAATACCGGCCCATAATATGCTTTTAATTTTTTACAGTACGTCTTCTCTTTTTGGAGGGGCAAGTTTTGATGGCATTAGTGACTTATGCACTGTTAATGCCTTCAACTGCAGATGCCAGTACATCACAATCCATCATATTTATCCACGCTGAATAGATGAGCCTCGACTCAATGTAAAAATCCCCAAAAAAATTAACCACGAACTTCATGTCTTTTCTGTACTGCAGTTTTAACTTATTTCACAGCATTTATGATTTTTCTAACTGCAACCACTGAATTTGATGAACTGCTTGAAGTTTTATAAACTTAGTGAAGAATGAAGAACATACACAAACCTATTTGTTGTTCAGTGTCTTCCTGTTTTATTCTGCAGGGTTCTGGATCAGTCATGTTTTCGGACTTTCTTTCATTAACTGTTGTGGGAAAGGCTGAACTGTTGGTGAACTCCTGTGTGGTTGGAGGAGCAGATCTGCCAAAATCAAAAATAAATCCGTTATCAAATTGATGCTTTCAGAAATTCACACACTTAAATAATTTTGAATGTGTTCATCCATCTATCGAAATGTAAAGTTATTCAATTTGTTTAACATTACATTTACATTTAGTCATTTAGCAGACGCTTTTATCCAAAGCGACTTGCAAATGAGGACAATGGAAGCAATCAAAATCAACAAAAGAGCAATGATATACACGTGCTATAACACGTCTCAGTTAGCTTAACGTAGTACACGTAGCAAGCGTTTTTTAAATTATATAATAAATAAAAAGAAAACAGATCAAATAGAAAAAGAATAGAGCAAGCTAGTGTTAGAGGCCTTTTTTTTTGCTTTTGTTAATAGTATAATAAATAAAAAGAAAACAGAATACAAAAAGATTAGAAAGCTAGTGTTAGTGTTAGCTGCACCAATGTGCAGAGCCAGTGGTGGTTTTGTAAGCAAACATCAATGCCTTGAATTTTATGCGAATTGCAGCTATTCGTAGCCAGTGCAAACTGATAAACAGAGGTGTGACGTGCGTTCTTTTTGGCTCATTAAAAATGAATCTTGCTGCCACATTCTGGATTAACTGTTAAGGTTTGATAGAACTGGCTGGAAGACCTGCCAAGAGAGCAGGGGCGCCGCTAGCAATTTTGGGCCCTATGAAAGAATATGAGGTTGGCCCCCTACCGCTCCAAACATACACTATATTGCCCAAAGTATTGGGACACCCCCTTCTAATGAACAAGCTTGACTACTTTAGTACAAATCTTAATGTTTAAGCATATAATGATATTCTAGGGAATTGTGTGCTTCTAATTTTATACCAATGGTTTGGACAGGACCCTTTTCTATTCTAACACGAAAATGCCTCTGTGTATAAGTCAAGATAAAAAAAAGAAAGAAAAATATATTGATTCAGTCAGTGTAGAAGAACTTGACTGGTCTGCAGAAAGCCAAGTCCTAATCCCAGCTGAACACCTCTGGTGTGACTTTAAATGCAGACCTTGAGCCAAAAACTCATCACCAAACACCAATGACTTGTACATACTAGGGCTGGGCGATATGGGCAAAAATTCATATCTCTTCATATTCATATTTTTTGGACGATTTGCGATATACGGTATATATCTCGGTATTTTCATTTTTGTATTTGGATTAAAAAAATCTGTATTTAATATATATATATTTCACTTACCTCCCAATGTTGTCCAACAAAACAATACATATTAAAGGCTATGAAAACAAATAAAGTGAATGTAACCATGTTAGCCTTTATATTATGTGCAAAAAAGGGTTAAAATCACATTTCATTATAACATTGTAACATTGCAATCTAAAAACAAAAATAAGGCTTTTAAAGCGGAAGTTATATTCACTAAACTAAAAATGAAAATAAACGAGAACAAAAGCACAGAGTTGTGTTAGGCTATTTTGATTACCCCATTACAGTGAGTATGATCATAAAAATAGACTTACTTGTAGGTTTAAAATTCTACATGTCACATTTATTGTCCAACTACAAATATTTCAGCGAAATGTATATTTTAGTCAAAATTATTGCACTCTTATTTAATTGAGCTCTGTCTGTTTGGCGTGCATGCGCGGCGGCGGCGCTCGTTCACTGTGAAGTTTAGCGGAGAATCCCAAAGCAGAAGGCTCATGCACTTCTGACAGAAAAATGGAAATATTTCCATGGCTTTCTAACATTTACAGATGGAGAATATACCTGTGAAATGTAAGTTATGCATTCAGGAAGACAGCATCTGAAACACATTAAACAGCGCGAGTAGCCTAGTGTCTCTGTCAGCGACACATGCAGCCTTTCAGTCAGAGCATCTGACGGGCCGAGCCGCTTAAACTAATATGCGAAACGAAAACTATAAATGATGTCTTACCAGTTTTTAAAGGCCTTAATATGAAGCTTGTCACATGTTTAGAACAAATTGGATTATGCACTTTCTCCGCAGCAGCTCAGTCTGTGTCCTCCGCTATATTTTCAGATGCGCTCGTATCAAACTACTGTATATCGATATAAA